CCAGGCTGGCGGAGCATTGCGAGGCCCCCCTCAGAACAGAACCCCGCGGGAGCCGAGTGCGCCCAGGGCCGGGGAGTTCGAGACCGAGCGCGAGAGCTGGTTTTGAAGGCGGTGCATTGGGGCCAGAGCCAGCGCGCGAGCAGAGCGAGGACCCCCCCGCCTCGGGGGTCGCCCCTGGCCAGCGGGCGCTCGCGCGGCGCCAGTTATTCAGGACCTCCTCTCGCCAGGACTGCTCGCGGATCAGGCGGGGGCCCTGGTGCAGTCTAGTGTTGGTCGCGTTGCGCGAGCAGGAAAGCGCGGGTCGCGACGCGCGCGCGCGCGCGCCCGTGGAAGCGCTCGCCTGCCCAGCGCGCCCGGCCAGTCCAGACGAGGAGCTCGGAGCGAGGCCGAGCGAGAGCCCCGAGCGGCAGGAGCTCCAACGCCAGGTCGCGACCAAGCGAGCCGCCGCGGTGCGCGATCAGAGCGAGCACGACCCAGCGGAAGAAGGGCGGCCTCTCCTCGCCGAGGCAGCAGGAGCCGAGCACCCCCAAAAGGGCGGCGCCCGAGCGCATCGCCAGTTCTCGGCGGCGCGTCGGTGGAGGCCGGCGGAGGGCACTTTCGCTTTCCCCGCCGCCAAGTCCCGATGGCGCGCGCGCGGGCGCCAGGGCCCAGACGCCGGAGCTCTCGAAGTCTACTCTCCGACCCCCCAGACCAGCTCGATCACGATTCCCCCGCAGGTCACCATGAGCCGGGGGGCGAGGGCGGACACAGCGGATGTCAACAGTCAAGAATGTTTCTGGCTAGTTGGACAGCATCTCTCGGGCCTGGGGGGACTTGGCGACGGGTTTCCCGTTCCCCCTGGGCGCTTGATTCAGCCGTTGGTCAACGCGCCCGGGCCCGATGGCGCCCCGGTCGCGTTGCGTCGGATCACGGCCAAGAAACTGTCGGGATTGGGTTTTTTTTCTTTCGAAGTTCCTCTTGAAACCGCGCCGGCGCGCTCGCTGCGAACCGAACGAGGAGGTCAGGAGCATGGCGCGTTGACAGCCGGTGATTTCTTCATTGCTTCAGGTTCGAGTTCGGGAAATATCGCCTCAGACGCCAAGGCTCCAGTCGAAGTGGAGAAGCAGTTACCTTCTCGAGGAGGTCTCCCTTGTGAGAATGGAGCCCAGGCTCTCTGTTTTTTTTTCTCCCCCTCTCTCTCTCTCTCTCTCTCTCTCTCTCTCTCTCTCTCTCTCTCTCTCTCTTTCTCTCTCTCTCTCTCTCTCTCTCTCTCTCTCTCTCTCTCTCTCTCTCTCTCTCTCTCTCTCTCTCTCTCTCTCTCTCTCTCTCTCTCTCTCTCTCTCTCTCTCTCTCTCTCTCTCTCTCTTCTCTCTCTCTCTCTCTCTCTCTCTCTCTCTCTCTCTCTCTCTCTCTCTCTCTCTCTCTCTCTCTCCTCTCTCTCTCTCTCTCTCTCTCTCTCTCTCTCTCTCTCTCTTTTACATTATATATATATGTATATATGTATATATATATTATATATATATATCCCGCGCGACCACCCCTCGGGCGACGAGGAGGTTCGGGGGGGGGGGGGGCAACGTTTCACTCGATCGGTCTCATTATCGATCTCACTATCGATCTCACTATCGGTCTCGCTCGATCGATCTCACTCGATCGATTTCGCTCGATCTATTTCATCCGATCGATGCCAAAATCGATCTGGCGATCGATCTCCCCATCGATCTCACTATCACATTCTATCTCGTATTCGGTATCACTATCGATCTCACTTTCGATATCACAATCGATCTCACAACTAACGTTATCATCATCAACAAAATCATCGCTACCAACGTCATCTACGTTATCATCACCATCATCGGGACACCATCAACATCACCATTTCATCACCATCAACATCATCATCCATCATCATCATCGGGACACCATCATCGCCACCACCATCATCACCAACATCATCATTACCGGGACACCACCATCATCATCAGCACCCTCATCGGGACACCACCATCATCACCGTCATATCATCATCATTATCATGAACACCATCATCATCAGCATCATCGGGATACCAGCAACATCAGCATCAACAACATCATCATCGGGACACCATCATCATCGTGACCCATCATCATCACCATCGGGACACCATCATCATCAACACCAGCATCACCATCATCACCATCATCGGGCCGCCATCATCAAAATCATCAGCATCACCACGTCATCGTCCTCATCATCGGCACCATCATCTTCGGGACACCATCATCATCATCGGGACATCATCATCACCAACAGCATCATCGACATCATCATCATCACCAGGACGCCATCATTTCCATTTCCATCATCATATCAGCATCCGATCATCATCATCAACATCACCACGATCATCAACATCACCATCGTCATTGGAACACCACCATCATCATCAGCAACATCATCATAATCAACTTCATCATCACCGGGACACCATCACCACCACCATCACCATCATCATCATCATCAATGTCGTCAACATCATCATCATCGTCATCATCATCATCATCGGGAACCCATCATCATCACCACCATCACCATCATCGTCATCATCAACATCATCGACATCATCATCATCATCATCATCGGGGCACCGGCGGGACACCGCGGGCCACCGGCCCCCGGAAAATAATCATTTGGTCCGCCCGCGCCTCAGCCGGAGGCGGGACACCACTGGGACATCGCGGGCCACCGGCCCCCGGAATGGAATCATTTGGTCCGACCGCGCCTCAGCCACAGGAGACTTTCTGTCGCCCGCCCACGCAGCTTCGCCTCGCCCGCACGCACGGCACGCAAGAACACGAAACCGAAACCGGTTTCCTGGTAAAGGGGCTCGCCGTTCCACTTCGATCTCACCCCCCCACCTCCGATATATATATATATATATATATATATATATATATAATATATATATATATATATATACACACACCTATACCTATACCTATACCTATACCTATACCTATACGACCACCTTGCGGGCGATAAGGAGGTGAGGGGGGAGGGGGGACCTACGTTTCACTCAATCGATCTCGCTATCGATCTCACAATCGATCTCACACTTGCTCTCACTATCGATATCACTATCGATCTCGTTATCGGTCTCACAATTGATCTCACAATCGATCTCACATTCGGTCTCACATTCGGTCTCACTGTCGATCTCACTATCGATCTCACTATCGATCTCAAATTGATCTCACAGTCGATCTCACATTCGGTCCCACATTCGGTCCCACTATCGATCTCACAATCGATCTCACATTCGGTCTCATTATCGATATCACAATCGATCCCACAATCGACGTCATCATCTTCATCATCACCATCACCAACATCAACATCATCATCAGCATCGCCGTCATCAACATTATCATCATCACCATCATCATCACCATCATCATCATAATCATAATCACCATCAACATCATCATCGGCACACCGACGGGACACCGACGGGACACCGGCGGGACACCGCGCCGCACCGGCCGCCCGGAAAAGAAACATTTGGTCCAGCCGCGCTTCAGCCACACGGGACACCAGCGGGACACCGGCGGGACACCGCGCGCCACCGGCCGCCCGGAAGGGAAACAGTTGGTCCGGCCGCGCCTCAGCCACAGGAGACTTTTTGTCGCCCGCCCACGCAGCTTCGCCTCGCCCGCACGCACGGCACGCACGAACACGAAACCGAAATCGATTTCCTGGTAGGGGGGCTCTCCGTTCCACTTCGATCTCACCCCCCCACCTCCGATATATGTGTTCCCTTCGCGTGTATAATTGGGTCGATCGTGCCTGACCGGGGGGGTGACCTGTTATCTTTGTGAATGCTTCAGGGAACCAAACCTACTAGAAAGTTTGGCGAGTGTGGGAACCCACCCCTTTTTTTGTACGTTTTGGGTGTGCCACGCAAGGTTGTTTTGACATTGATTCTACCGTTGCGGGGTAGGCTATGTGCACGGGCAAGGAGTGCAGAGACATGCGACTGCTATAATTGCGGCTCAAGGTCTGCACATGTTTTTGATATCGGTCTTGCTGCCACACTACGAGTCGGCGAGTGTTGGTGGGGTTGCCTCGACACGCCCGTGGCCGAACAGCTGGGCCCGTCGATGTTTTCCTGGGGCCTCCGTGGGGTGGTCCTGGGCCTCCCTTGGGGTCTGTTGTGGGCATCGGCTTCGCGTCCACTGGGAGTTCATATTGGTTTTCCTCGTGTCTCTCGTGCTGCTTGCCCGACACGGGGTGACATGACATGTTTCGGGCAAAATCCCGAGAGACACCGCTGCGCTCGGGAACAGAAGCAGGAGCAGCAGGCAGCGGGCTGCCAAGACGACGACGACGACGACGACGACGACGACGACGACGACGACGACGACGACGAATCGGACGGCGGCCTGGCCCGCGGCGGCGCAGCCGCGGAACCGCCCCCCGCGGGAGGCGGCCGAAGCTGCCCCCAGGGCAGGGCAGGGCTGCTGGCTATGCTGCAGAGGCAGCGGTTCGGGCGTTGCGCAATGGTGGGCGATAAATGAGGAGGGGGCTGGAGACTGTAGACCGCGCCTGTGTCGTCCCATGGAAACGGCCTTGCGCATGTCTAGAAAATGGCGCCGCGGCGCCGGCATCATTCGGACGTCGCATATCATGTGATTCAATACCCTGTGGTTGTGTCGTTGTTGGTCGTCTTGTGCGCGGCAAGTGCGAGTCTTCCATGTGGGCGGTTTGAAGAAACTTGCACCCTTCGTGCACTTTCGAGGCCCTGCAGGGGCCTTCTGGGGGGCCCAAGAGGTGCACGAGGGGTGCACGCATCTTCGTCGCCCCTATCGCATTTGCCGCCTCCCCGTGGAGCAACGCCCAAGCGGCGGGAGCAGAGGTCTGAGCATGTGCTGGAGCAGGATAGAGGAAAAAGGGGCTGCAGCAGCAGCGGACCAGGAGCAGGAGCAGCAGCAGCGAAGTCCTCGCGCGCGCCGTGCTCGCGTGAGAGACGCGCAAAGGCAGCTGCCAGACGGTGTGCGTCCCGCCCGTCTGCAGGACGGAGTGCGGCAGCGTCAGAGGACGCGCGCGCGCACGAGGGGGGGGGGGGTCGGCAGGATTGGCATTGATCCCCCTCCTCCTCCTCCTCCTCCTCCTCGTCTTTCCTCTCCCTCTTCCTCTCTCCCTCCCTCCTTACCTCCCTTCCTCCCTCCCTCGAAACTGGAAGCCAGCCCCCAGGGGTGGGTCTGGCGCTCTCTTCACTCGAGCTCGACACCACATTGCGGTCACCAGCGAGTTACTCCAGATTTCGTAATAAAGGGAGGGGGGTCTCATTTCGGGGGGGGGTCTCTTCCAGGCTATCTTGGAGGGCCTGGGGGGTCTGGGGACGATGTTTTGGAGGGTTCTCCCACGGGGGAGGTCTGACATGGCTCGTCTTGGAGGGTCCAGACCCCCTCCCTTTTATTACGAAGTCTGGAGTGCCTTCCTCCCTCCAGGGGCATCGTCGGGGTGGGGGACTGGATCGGGGCGGGACGCCTCGACCCCGAGTCGCCCACTCGTCACCCCGGGGAGCCCGAGGGCCCACCTTGCCGGGGAACGGGCGGTTTTTTTCCATACCGAGGGCCTGATCGCTCTGCATCGGAGCCCCGCATCATCCGGGGTAACTCGGGTCAGGGCTAACTCGGGTTCCTTGTTCGGGGATCCGAACCCGACTCACCCCGGACCCGAGTTGCCCCGGATAAGTCGGGCGTCCAGAGCCCCACATCATCAGGGGTAACTCGGGTCAGGGCTAACTCGGGTTCGTTGTTCGGGGATCCGAACCCGACTTACACCGGACCCGAGCTACCCCGGATAAGTCGGGCGTCCAGGGCCCCACGTCATCAGGGGTAACTCGGGTCAGGGCTAACTCGGGTTCCTGTTTCGGGAATCCAAACCCAACTGCACGAACGAGATGGGCACGGAAAGAATGGGTACGACTCCCAACAGCGGATCTTGTTCGTTTTGAACAGGACTCGCTGTCCACGCCGCCGTGGCCTGTGTCCATTTGAGACAGAAGGCCGCCTGCCCAACAGCGGCCGCTGTTGGTTTGGGACAACATTTACAGTTGGGCATTGTACCCATTTTTTCCGTACCCATTTCGGGCGTCCAAAATCGCCGATCAGTCGGCGTGGTTTTCTCCCTTCGGGGCCTTCGGAGGCGCCAGGGGGTTCCAGAGGTCCTCGTTGGTCTCTCTCCAGGGGCTCTCGGGGGTCTTCGGGGGGTTCTTGGGGCTCTTCGGAGGTATCCGATGAGTTTATGATTGCGCTCGGAGGCTTTCAGGGGGTCTGCAGGATGTATAGTTGTTGTTGTCCTGATGCTTCCATTGTTTTCTGAAGATTCTCGCAGGCCTGCAGATACTGTTCGGAGATCTTCTCAGGGACAACCTCCTATGGGCTTGACCCTTTGCCTTGAAATCACGGTCAAAAAGCGCTCCGAGACAGGTCCAGAGATCGATTATGAGATTCGGGCGGTGGTTAGAGGATGATTTGTTTACACACCTCTATATACATACAAACACGCATCATATATACATACCTACCTACATACATACATACATACATACATACGTACGTACATACATACATACATACATACATACATGCATGCATGCATGCATACGTACATACATACATACACACACATACATGCACACACATACACATACACATACATACATCCATACATACATACATACATACATGCATGCATGCATGCATACATACATACGTACATACACATACATACATACACATATATACATACATGCATGCATGCATGCATACATGCATACATGCATACGCATATGTATGTATACATGCATACATACATACTATACATACACATACACATCAACATATCGATGCACATGCTGTATGATGTAAGTGGTTGTATGTATGAATACCTGTGTCTGATACTACATATATATACATATGTATGCATATGCCTATGCAGTCATGCATGTATGTATGTATAATTACGCATGGACGCATGCATGTATGTTTGTGTGCATGCATGACTGTGTGTTTGCATGTGTGCATAAGTATATGTACGTGTGGATGCATGTATTTATGTATGCATATATGTGTGTTTGTATGCATGTATGAATGTATGCACGTGTGTATGGATGGATGCGTGTATGCAGATCTATATGCATACATGTGTGAGTAGGTATGTGTGTATGAATGTATGTGTGTATGTATGTATGTGAGCATGTGTGGATACGCATGTAATGCTGTATGGTTGCTTGCATGAATGCAGTGTACTGTTGTGTATGCATGTATGTGTGTATGTACGTATGGATGTCTGTATGTGTGTACGTGTGTATGGTGTTGTGCCTGTATGTCGTCATGTACGTACGCATGTGTCTCTGTAATATGTATATGTGTATGTATGTGTATGCATGTGTGCATGTATGCATGCATGCATGCATGCATGCATGTATGTATGTATGTATGTATGGATGCATGTATGCAGTTATGTGTGCATGTCTGTGTACGCATGTATGGCTGTATGCATGTATGTATGTATGTATGTATGTATGTATGTATGTATGTATGGATGTGTGTATGTATGCATGCATGCATGTATGTATGTATATATGTACGTACGCACGCACGTACGTACGTATGTATGTATGTATGCATGTGTGTAGATATACATGTATCGCTATCACACCCTCTGGTCCGCCCTGTCTGTGTCGTCCTTCCGTGCCTTTTCACGATGCAGGCTTTGGCGCCGCGGCCGGCTTCGCCAGCGGGCCCCACTCGGGGATCCCCTCCTCGGGGCGCTCCACGGCCGGCCGGCACGGGAGCCCTGCACGTCCCCTCGCGCACGAGCCGGCACGGGAGCCTCCACGGCTGGCCGGCACGGGAGCCGTCTTTGGACTGCACGAGCGTGCGCCGGCGTCCGCTAAACGGTGAGGGCGCGCCGGTGTCGCGTCGATCGGCACAGGTTCGCGTCGATGGGCGTCGGTCAGGGGCGGTGAGCGTCGGTTCGCCGGGGCCAGCAAAAAGCGTCATTGGGAGGCTTCCGTGAGCTGCCACACGGAAGGCGGAGCATTGGGCCCTGGTATACTCGCAGGCGGGCCTGCTGCCAGCAGCCGCGCAGGGCTTCCTGGCTGCCGCCCGAGAGGCCGTGCGAGCAGCGCGCCCCTGCGCCCTCCAGGCTTGTTCCTGGCATCGCTCGGACGTGTGCATTTTTTCTCGGCGGGAACCATTGAGGACAATCCTGGACCATCGAGCAAGAAAAACACGCCCGAGACCGAAACATGCACGGGCAATGGACGTCCGAGCGATGGCGAGCGTTGGCCGGAGGTGCCTGCCCCTCGCAGTGGCCGGGGGTGGGCAGAACCCCCCGAAAGTGACACGTCGATGAGTGAATTGTCCGTTTTCGGTTCGGGAGAGGGCGCCGCGGCCGTTATTTTCCAGGCTTGCGCCCGCCAGGTTTGGGCCTCCAGTCGTTCTCACTAAACCACGTTCTGCGAAAGGGAGGCCCGTCCATCCCCGCAGTGGCGCGGCGCTGCAGGTCTCCGGGCAGGAGCCGGCGGGCGGGGCCTCGCGGCCGCCGAGGCGCCTCCTCCCCCCCTGCAATGGGCGGGCCGCTGCGCTCCCCGCGCCCGCCCCGCGGGGCGGGCCCACGGGGGGGGGGGAGCAGGAGGGGGCCACGGGCGGCCTGCCTCTGCGGCGGCGCGGCGCGGCGCTCGCCGCGGCCGAAGCCGCGGGGAGGGGGCGAGCGCCAGCTGCCGCGCGGTGTGCACGCCGCGCCCTGCGCGCGCCGTGCGCCGTGCCATGCACGCGCCGGCGGGCCGGGGGCGCGGCCGCCGCGGGGGGAGAGAGCCCACCGGGCGGGCGCCTGGCCTCGTGCGCGGGGCGGCCGCACAGCTGGCACCGCACAGCCGCCTGCCGCCGCGGCCGCCCGAGGAGAAGAGGGGCGGCGGCGCTGCCGCCTCGGAGCCCGGGCGGAGGCCCCCGCCCGAGCCGGTCGGGCGAAAGGGGGGGATAGCGAAGGGGGGGGGTGAGAATCAGCTCACGTAGGGGATTTTACCGGCGCCTCCAGGCGCCGGGAGGCGCCCATGTATCGATTAACGGGCGAAGAACGGTATAAAATAAACTTTTTCGCTGTCGGGGGCGCCTGTCCCAGGGCGGCTGGAAAGTTTATACCCTTACGGTGCCACCGTAGGGGTATAAACTTTCCAGCCGCCCTGGGACAGGCGCCCCCGACAGCGAAAAAGCTTATTTTATACCGTTCTTCGCCCGTTAAATCGAGGAATGGGCCCGGCGGCGGGCCCGACCCCCCAGCGGGGGGTCACGGCGGGGTCACGCGGCCGCCGGGCCCCGCCGCGGCGGGGCGGAGACCTCAAGAGGGGGAAGGGGAGAGGGCAGGGCGAGGGCGGGGAGGGGGGCAGTGGAGCTGACAGGTCTTCATCGCCAGGGCGGCGCGCACTCGGGGCGGCACGGGGCACCGCTGCCGCCGATGCCTCGCTGCGCGCACGCGCAGGCTCTGTTGGCGCAGGCCATGGCTCGCTCATCCGAGCTTCCTCTCATCCCTGCTTCTCAGCGCTGTTTGCCCACGCTGCGATCGTGATGCGCCCCTTCTGCGTCGAAGAGATCTTCGAGCTGCCTGTTCGTCCAGTCGATGTACTCCCTGACCTCCGCCATGCTCTGGTCTCCTTCGGGGCGGTACTCCCTTCTGGACGCTCTCCTGGCAGTGGTCAAGGAGGGGCCCGACGTCTCTTCGTTTTCTTTCTGGACTTTTAGCTGGCTCGTCATCCACGTGGTCAGTTGTGGCGAGACGAGGGGGAGGAGGGAGAGGAGAGGGACCCAGTTCAGCCGCAGCCAAGCCTTCCCCGCGGGAGGCGCTCCACACAGACTCGCGCGGGGCTCGCCTCCGCCAGCGCTTGGGCTGGTCGCCCTCGTGTGCTTCGAGGCTCCGTGCTGCCAGCCGCATTCCCCGCCAGCTCTGCTGGACGGGGGGGTCCCAGCTCAGGAGCGAAAGAAGCCCGTACACTTAAGTCGGGCGTGTCCCCCTACAGGGGGATTTTCCA